TTTTAAATTTGTTCTTATTTATTTTACTTATTTATTTATTTTTTTTTTATCTTTTAAATCATCGGTTCGATCAAACTAGGTTCCGGCCCGTCCGGATTACCAGTTCAGCTCGCCCCGAGATTGGTACTTACCCGGTCGTAGCGTTTTAGTCTAAGCTACGTGTGGTCCATTTCGAACCGAATTTAGTCATATTATGGTTAAATTTTGAATTTAAGGTTAGACCGAGTCGATCTAATTCCTGGATCGTTTGCCCCATTATTTATTTATTATTATTATTCTTAATATTATTTTTTTTATCGTTATTATTATTATTATTATTGGCAGTTCGAGTCGGTTCAGTTTACGGACCGTCTGGTCTTTTTGTTTTATTTATTTATTTATTTATTTATTATTATTATTAGTATTATTATTATTATTTATTAAAAATAATTTTCTTTCTGTTTCTTTACATAACTGAATCGGTCCGGATTCAGACCGTTCGACCCAGAATTCATCATTCATATATTTTTTTTATATTTAAATTTTTCACGTTTCATAGACGAAACCTCAGTCTGGACGGTGTGGGAGTAGTCCGACCCGGTCCAGACTTTGAATGTATTAAAACATTTAAATCAACACAATAATTCATAGAAATAAAAATTCTCTCCCTAATATTTTTTTTTACTATTTACTTTACTATTATTATTATTATTATTATATTTTTTCTCTCTCTCTCCGTGCCATCTCTCTCTCTCTCTCTCTCTCTCTCTCTCTCTCTCTCTCTCTCTCTCTCTCTTGATATTGCATAAGGGAGTGCTCTCCCCTTTTTATAACTGTGTGTATGTGTTTGGTGGGGGTTTTGTTTATTATTATTATTTTTTGTTTAAAACGTGGGCGGCTTTGCCCGCCATCTACTCTCTTCTTTTTATTTTTTTTCTATCTAATGTATTATTATTATATTTATGTATTGGGGTTATCACAGTAGCCCTCAAGATAGTTATTGCCGAAGCTTATTAAAAATATTCTTGTGTTTTATATCAAGAGCACAAAGAAATCAAATTGAGAATTCGAAGGAGACAAGAAGAAGAGAGGTAATCATGTATGATGTATCAAAAAGATCACTTTATTTCTCTTATTGTTTACAATGATTTTGTACACATATATATGATGATTACGTGTCCATATTTTGGTAAAGAAAATATATTACAACGGCTATGCAATAATACGAAGAATAAAGAAAGAAGATAATGTGGTGTCATGGATGGTAAGACTTGAGCGTAATTGACTCGGATATGGTAAGATCGATCTGTCCGCATATTCTTGGAATTTGCTATCCATAATATGTGTCTTTCCCTTAGTTGCTAAATTTGAACGTTAACGTTGGTCATTGTCGAGTCTTCTTTCATGTGTTCGCAACAGGTGTCAATAAGACAAGTTACCATCTCTTGATTCTTTATGTGTTGTCTCATGGTCATGTCTTCTATTATCCGTGTCGTTCAAACCGTAACGTCGAGTGTGTCCATCAACAAAAAATTGTTTGCCTGCAAACGAACCTGTCAAAAACTATCACAGGAGGAAAATCTCGAAAAGGGTAGCCCCCAAGATAGATATTGCCGAAGCTTTCGACTCTTTGAGATGGGAATTTATTGTTACAGGAGGGTTGTCACCTTCGAGGAAGTTAGAAGATGACGCCTCCAAGACGGTAGGGATTTCTAGGGTTTGGATTGTGGATTTCTCGGGAGGAGCTGGTTTCAGTCGGGGGACATTCGAATATAGAGAGAGTCAAGAGGATAGCGCGACCCCTGAAGCCAATTCCGGTCGGCGGAAGAACCAAACCATGAACTCGAACAATTTTGATTACTGTTCTTGTATTATCTTCATATTTGCAGAAGTTGGTAAGTTTTTTTTTTTTTTTTTTGGTAAGGTTAATCCAAGATGTTTTAGTAATATCTTAAATTACTATTTTCTTCTTCATATCATATCTTCCATTGTTTACCTTCTTTTCCGTCGTTTTTCTTTTCCAATCATTTGCAAGGTGCTTCCCTTTTAGACAAAGTTTTTTGTATTATTTTTTTTTTGGTAAAAATTCTTCCCCATTTTCCTTCTCTCTATATTTTTATTTTCATCCTTTTGGTCAATATATAGATTCATTTATTTTCCTATAAGAAATAGATTCGTTCTAATCTTTTTATCTCTTTCACATTCTTTCCTTTTTTATTTTATTTTTGTACCTTCTCATTAGTTTTTCATCCCGTGATATGTACATTATAAATACGTATCTATTGAAAAAAAAAGTAGACAACAAGACAAGGTATGGGCAAGTTTGTAATAAGCCTCTTGGTGTTGCTGGTGTCGCTTGATGCGACGACCAGTGTTTTGGGTCTTCCGTTACTGATAAGGTTTAACATCGAGGTTGCAAATGCCCTCCAATCCAACAAGGGGCTGAAAGTGTATTGCCGAGCCAAAGACGAGTCTTTCCCAACTAAAGTTCTAAACGTTGGTAGCTGGTATCAGATGAAGTTCAGAGTCTACCTGAAAACTTTGTTCTGGTGCAACCTCTGGCAGGTGAGTACGCGGTTCAGTTTCGGTTCGGTTATTTTCGGATTGACAAAAATTTATATATCGGCTCTTAAATCGCCGATTCAGTTTTAGATTTTTTTCATATTGGGTTCCGTTAATTTTTTTCTAAGAAAACTCACATCAACTATATGTTTAGATTGCATTTAATTGTATATTATTTTGTTTAGAGATATCTAGGGGTTTAAAATGGGCAGGTCAACTTGAAAAAAAATGGGTGGGTCAGGCTCGATCGACTAGGACATGAAATTTTTCGGACCGGATTGGCCCGACTCGTTAAGCGTTCGGGCCTAGATTTGAGGGCCCGAGGACCACTCTTATACAACTTCGGGGGGATTTGGGTCGGGATTCGGACTTTTTTTTCTTTTTGTTATTCGTTTAGATTCATTTGGTGTGTTTTAAGTATCTTTTTGTAAATTACGATGATTTATTTTTTTATTTGTTATTTTCAGGGACCAAATTTCCAACACTATGCGAAATTCGATGCGTTCGTTAATAACAAAAGTTTCGTAGACGATGTATGTGGAGGCCGTAATCCTAATGTATGCAGATATGAAGCGAGAGAGGATGGAGTTTATGTTCGTGACAATGCAAATGGAGAATATAGGCTTCTTATAAAATGGGACGTATCCCCTTAGCAAAGAGACGTAAACCGTACTATCGCATCTCATCGGATGGGTTCTATTCACTCTATCCTGGTTTGAGTAATAAAATCACTATCCTTTAAACAATTTCATGATAAATCGTGCCCTTATTTTTTCCGCGGTAAACTTTTTTTTTTTGGATAACCGGATATCCTGAGCCAAAACCCAAATTAATCCGGGGATCGGGAGCCAGCCGGATGATTTGGAATATACGTTCTTTCTCCAAATTTGAGGTTCAAACTCGAAGCGGGACAGACGCTTTGCGCCCCCATTTCACCAGTTGAACTATCCAAATTTTGGTTAAATTAAAAAATAAATATCATATTTTAGGAGCTATTCAGCTCCAATACCCAAAATTTTTGGGTTATCTGAATTTGAATCCAAAATTTCAAGAGATTTCACCGGCAAACTTAATTCCATGCATCTTTTTAATGTGGTTAGTACGAGTCATGCGTCTTCGAACTCGATTCAACCAAATGTTATGGGTTTGTACAATAAATTTTGTTAATTTTGTAGAGGGGATAGGAATATCACATGATTCGCGCCAATATATAAGAAAGAGAAAAATCGAAGAGAGATAAACAACTGATATATATATATATATATATATATATATATATATATATATGTATGTACACACAAAGAATTGATAGTTGGATAGTAGATGAAATGGAAGTCTTTTTGTTTTGTTTTTATTTTCAGATGAGGATATTTATTGAAGTATTTTTCGCAAAATAAAGGTCATTTTTTTAATAATGACATTTTTGTGCCCATTATTAAAAAAGGAATAAGACATTGAATTTCCAAAGAAGCACCAGGCTTAGTTATTCTACTCGCAATTAAATATTAGGATTATTTTCCAAAATAGTTATAACTCCCGGAAATTCCTATTCTGATTTTTTAGATGACTATCACAATTTCTTTAGTTAGAAAATTGATAGAAAAAAATTCCTTAATGTATATATAAGGTATTAAATATAATTCCTGATGTGGGTCGAAATAAAGATAAGATGAAGGACATACTAAATTGAGTTGGAGAATGGCATATGCCAGGTCATAATATAATATTCATGCAAAAAAAATTGTACTTAAATTTACTCTAACACTGATTAATTTTTTTTTTACTATAAATACCTTTCGTTTGGTTTGGAGACATTTCACTCAAATCCCAAAAGCAAAGCAATGGCTCTCTCCAAAACCCTAATTTCTTGCACCGTCCTCTCACTCTTCATTCTCAACTTAATCCATGCCGCTGAGGTATAATATGAGAATACACGATTGGTTTAGACCGGTTTAGATCGGTATTGTACCAATGATTTAGTGTGACAATGTACTACAATTTCAACCGTTTTGATCGCAGGTGCCTACAGAGACGGTCAGTGTGGCTCAGCCTCCTGCTCCACCGAAAATAGGTATGCAACACAATTAAGACAGAACCCAACAGCTAGATCTCGAGTTTTGGTTCAAGTTGGTTCAATTCTAAAAAACTATAACCGTTCGTTTTCTATATCGAGTTCAATTGGTATTCAATTTTTGTTTACAAAAATACCCTTTAAAAAAATCGATTTTTTTTTTGTTAATTTTATGTCCAACTCGGGTTCGGTTTAAAAAAAAAATTATAACCATTCAATTTTTATAACCGATGTGACTATGAAGTATCTGGTTATGATCGGTTAGGTTATTTAGCTAATAACGGAACTGATGATCGTCATTCTTATAATTTTTCATGGGTTTTTCACCAGATTGTACGGCGGAATGCGAGAGAAGATGTATACTGTCAAAGAGGGGGGACACGTGTAGGAGAGTGTGTGGAGAATGCTGCGCAACTTGCGGCTGCGTCCCGCCGGGAACGTGGGGACAGTACGAGGCGTGCCCTTGCTACGGCCAACAGAAAACCCACGGCGGACGTCAAAAGTGCCCTTGAAAACCCCGAAACCCTAATCAGATATTTTAATATTTTATTACAAATCATAATCAATTTTATTACAATGATGTCGTTGGGCACTCATTTTAGTTGCAAAGGAAATAATACTGAAATATTCTTTTAGACATTGCTAATTCAAAGTTTTGTTTGTTATCATTTCTCTATTAACATCAATCTAATAGCAAGTTACCCAAAATTGGATGGATTCAACCCAAAATTCGAAAGTTGACCAAAATTGGTCAAACTTTCGAATTATAAAAAAAATTCTAATATCAAATTTTGGACAACACTTTTTTTTCTAAAAAAAATGTAAGACTAAATAATCAGTTTCGTACATTATTCAATATTTTGAAGAAAAAAAAACATTACTCAGTCTCAGATTCATAATTCCAATCGACCATATGACAAAAAAAAAACACAGATTAGAAGAACAAGAATCGTTCCCTCAATTTCTCACCATATAAATCTTGTAGAATTTAAAAAATTAAAAAAACAAAAACACAAATTTCTTTGAACCTATCGTTACGAGCGTCATCTAATAATTTCTTCGATATTCGGTGTTTGTAATTCGAATCGGAGATTTACTCCTCAGATTTCTTCAAAACTCTTTTCACTTATCATTTCGTACTGACAAAAGTTTGTTGTGGTTTGGGTGGATATTTTAGGTTTCGGTTCGGTTACTTTTTTTCCAATTTTTTAGTTTAAAAAAAAATTTACATTCATTCATTTTTTTTTTATTAAATATGATTTCATTTCAATGAAAAAATTATTTTTAAAAGTTTAAAAATTTAAAATTGTTTATATCCAATTTCGATTACTATATTTGTAATAACTTAGAATACTATTTTTTTACCTTCTTTTCCATCTATTTTTCCCTTTTCAACAATTTGCAATTTGTTTTCCTTTTAGATAAGGGTTTTCTTTTATATTAACCTTTTCCAATCACCAAAACCTTCCCTATTTTCCCTCTTTGTACCTTTATTTTCTTCTTTTGATATATATATATCCATTAATTTTCCAATTAGAAGTAGATTCGTTCCAATCTTTTAATCTATTTCGCAATCTTTCTTTTTCTCGTTTTGTTTAAAATTTTCAAAATAAAATTTTGGTCTTATGAATTTTTCTACTATAATTTTGGGATGTAATGGCAATGGGGTTTATTGAGATGCCAACTTGTCTTTCTTGGTTTGGTCTGTTTGGTTAGGCGTCCGTAGGAATCTTTTAACAATTCCCATTTTGTTAATAAGTTTTATGAAAAAATAAATCACATTATAAATTACAAAGCATATATATATATATATATATATATATATATATGTATATATATATCGAAACAAATTAGTAGATAAGTGAAAAAAGATGGGCAAGTTTGTGATAATAAGCCTCTTGGTATTACTGGTCTCACTAGATGCGGAGGCTCTTCCGTTATTTAGAAATTTCAACATCGTAATTTCAAACAACCTGAAATCTAGCAAGGTGTTGAAGGTGCACTGCCGGTCAAAGGACGACGATCCCCCGTTCCATTTTCTAGACGTCAACACCGCGTATGAACTCAAGTTCACCGTCTATCCCAAGACTTTGTACTGGTGCAACCTCTGGCAGGTGATTACCACCGATCCTCCATCTCATCTTTTAAAAGTTTTTTTTACGGGTTTTTTGTAAACGGTAAGCTTATATATATACACACACGCGTTGTTGAAGCATATAAGAGAGTTTTAAGTTACATCAAGATAAAATCATCATCAGCCAATCGAGAATTACGGCCGATCAAAATAACGGAACCAAATGCTGAGGAGGGAATCGACGTTCTAAATTCAGTTTTTTGGTCATTTTCATATTGGGTTTGGTAAACTTGATTTAACAGAACTCATAGCAACTAAATATTTCAATCCCATTTTATCGATTGCATTATATCCGTTTAGGGATAATTTGGATTTTTTTTTTATAAAAAAACACACACACACACACCAACTAGATATTTAGTTCATTTACGATTATATATCATTCGGTTCATTTCAATACAAATAACACCGAAACAAGCTAGTTTTGTATACTGTTTTTGAAAGCAATTAGGGTTACATATTTTGGGGGGTTTTTTTTTCAAGGGGCCGAATTACAAACACTATGCGAGATTCGATGCGTTCGTTGCGGACGACCATTTCATAGACGATGTATGCGGAGGTCGTAAACCCAATGTGTGCACATGGGTCGCGACAGAAGAAGGGATTTATGTCCGCAACAACGCAAGGGGAGATTACAAGCTCCTTTACAAATGGGACGCTACGGCTGAGCAGAACATTCCCTAGAGATTGTATACCGCATCTCATTGCGTACGGTGTGGTCCGATCATTACAGTTATTACACTTTTAAATAATTTTATGATAAAATGGTCCGATTATTATACCTTTTTTTAATTTAATTTCATGCATCTCTTTAAGTACCTTTAGCAATCTTTTTTTGAAACATATATTGGTTTTAAACATTTTATAGGCTCTTTTGTCGACCCCCTAATATCAAAAAATTCGTCTGTCGATATGGACGTTATCTGATATTTTCTAAATTCGAAATATCAACTTCTAACGCTTATTATTGAGATTTATGCAAAACTGATTTCACTTTTAGATCGAAACCGACTAAAGATGTTCTATTTTAAGATTTAGCCCATAACCTTAAACGCATTCAGTTAATAGCCCAACCCATTTTGGCATTGTGAAATTACAATCAGAGGAATATGGGCTTTTGGGCCCTTTGCTTTTTAGTGTAAAACAAGTACAATGGGCTTTGATTCGTTCCAGTTTCTGAGGCATGAAAAGATTGGATGAGAACGATCTCGACCGTTCAATTCGATAGACGAATCAAAGCCGTCAATTCCATCAAATGATCAAGATTTTAGAATCAAATTTCAACAAAAATAGAGTTTAAAATTCAATCCAAAATATTCCATTCTAACATGATATATAAGATACCATTCTAACTTGTAGATTAATATAAATGAATCTAGACCGTCGATTAATAAAACATATCTGAATCATTCGTCGGATCTTCCTCCGAAATACCTAAGTTATCAATTACGGGATTAAATCATAACCGTTCGATTTTCAAAAATAATCTCGACCGTCAACTTAAAAAAAAAATTGGTTATTGGATTACCGATACTAAATATGATAGATATTTGATCTAAACCGTTGATTAGGGTAAAAAAAAGGATAATTACCGTTAGATTCAACAAAAGAATGTGAAAACGTTTAATATTATTATATATTTTTTTTTATAGCATGGTCAAAGTGAATCTCAATAATGATGTCTCAACCCGACATCATCCCTTTTCAAAAATCTTTCTTAGATATTTAAGTATAAAAAGGCTGAAAAAAAGGAACAAAACACTTCTCCACTACACAAGCACAAGGCCAAGTACTTTAAGTTTGCACGTTAGGATATATATATATAATATGTGTATATATCTAAAACTAATATGTGTATGTATATATGTATATGGATACTTAATATTTACGTCTTCTAATGTAGACGCTAATTTCAATAGAAACTTTACGATTCGATTCGGTCCGGTTATATCTTATCAAAATTAGAATCAAATTATAACCAAATAAAAATCTGATTGAAATATTATTGAAGACAAATTTTTAAAATCTTAATTTAATCATATACCATAATCATAAAACAATCTACATTATACTAATTTCTCTGTAAATATAACATATATTTATATATTAATGGTTATTGAAAAATAAAATGCAGAAATTAAAAAGAGATAAAAAAAATAAAAAAATAAAACAAAGAACATTTTTATTACTACATCTCTCATTGTTGTTGTTGTTTTACAATGAAAATAACTCATCTATTTATAAGAAACAATTATAAAATAATTAAAGAAAGAAATTTACAAAGAAATAATATATGATGGAAACAAATAAATCAAGAGATATTTGACACAATTATCATTATTTGTTAATTGATTTTGTGTCTTTAATTTCTCTCAATCATCCTCATAATCATTTCCAATCAATTTATTGAATTTTTAAATTTATATTTGTTTCCTCATTTTAACAATGGTGATATACAGGTAGACAAACAATTATATTCGCTTTATTCTGTATTCGCTTATTTTGGGTTTTAAAATTCTATAACCAGACGGTTATTCAATTTTGATCCGTTCGGTTCGATTCAGATATAAATTTATCGGGTTTGGTTCGATCTTCAAATAGCCCACTAGATGCTATGACCAATCAGTGAAGCTTTTAACCCCAAAAGGGGAGAATGATAGGGCAAGAAAACCTCAGTTGGATAATTATATCGTTATATTCCAAAAAAGAAACCACAAGAAATTAAACAAAAACCAAACTAATTGATATTCTTCTCACTGGCCCCACATAAGTTTCCACTCATAATAAAGATCATCATCGTCTTTGCCACCAAAAGCCCATAAGATAATGATGTCTCACTACATTTCAAAAACCTCACTTTTTTTCCCAAAAAAAAAAACCTTTTTTAGATTTTTTTTAATAAAGATAAAAATAAAGATCCCACATTCCATGAACTCCATTGCTTTAAGACACAATCATAGATCCTTTGCTTTTTTTAGTTGGTCAAACGTGGTCGGTTGACTGAGGCAGAAGCGGAGCAGCGAGAGATGTCCTGACGACGTGGCTTGAAGGTGCACGATCGATTCCGTGCTCCGAGATGGACTGGATGGCTGCCTTCTCCAACGCAGCGAATTTCCTCTCCTCGCTCTTCCCGTATAAAACGAAGTAGAGACCAGTTATGATCAAGACAGCTCCAATGATCCTGTGCGGTCATTAACACAGTTAATAGGGAACGGACACGTGGCGACTCGTGGGCCAATAGTAGCATGTGACCACATTAAAACATGTTTGTTCCTTGTTTATCCCCAAAAGAAGATGAAATGATCTAAACCACCACCCCCCCTCGTAATGTTTGATCGTTTTTGCCCAAGAATTTCATTTTGTACAAAATGGACCCAAGGAGCATTAAATAAGATACTAACGATTCAAATCATATGTCTTGCGGATAAAAAGAAAGAATATATTTTTATAAAAAAAATTTGGTACCACAAAAAAAAAGGAAAATGAAAGTTTTATGCGTACCCGCCCAAGTAAAATTCTTCACCCAAAGCGATCGAAGCCATAATTGCGACGACGAGGGTCTGAACCGGTTGATAAACTGCGACAAACACCGGGCCCCCTCTGTCGATGCACCAAATCTGAACTGCAAATGCAATTCCAGATGCGACCACACCCTAAAAGAGAGGAGAAAAAAACGATTACAAAAAAAAATTGTATCACAACGGGGGCCATAATGAACCTTTCTAAATGTCAGGGGTCGAATCAAACAATTGAAAAAGAAGTGGGGAAAACGACTCACGGCGTAGAGGATGGTGAAGAGCTCCCATCCAGAATGAAAGCTCCAAGCTTGTAAATCTCTCTCCGCAAAAGCAGCGATGATCAAGAACTGAATGATACCGAAGAAGCAAGTGTATGACGTCACCGAGAGCCTAGCCGGGTAAGTCTTGAGCACCGGAGCCTGAAGCACGAGCCATCCGGACCACGAGAGGCAGTGCCCGATCAAGTAGATGCAACCCAACGTCCAGTTCTTCGGCGCAGCGTCACCGAGCCGGCCGAACGTGTTGGCTCGAGCCGTGGCCAGGCCGTGGTTCAGATGTTTTGTTGGAGAGTATATGGTGGGGCCCTTGTAGAGTGTGATCACCGATGCTCCGGCGACACAAAGTGCAGTCCCAAGAACTTTGGAGATACCGTCTCTTCTGTCCAGTCGAACTTTCTCGATCCTGTTCTCGAATCTCTCAGTGTTAGGGATTTTATCTTAAACCAAAAAGGGTTCTGTAGGCAAAAAAAAAAGAAAACATCCTAGTAAAGTGGAGGACTTTGCCTGAGAAGAGCAGCCATGAGAAAGGTAATCGCAGGAACAGAGTTCTGAATTGCAGAAGCAAATGTCGGAGATGTGTTGTCCAATCCGAGCAAGTAAAACCCTTGATTTGCAGTTATTCTGCCGCGTAAATTTCGGTCTTACTATTAGTATTTCTCAACCATAAAAAAAGGAAAACAAATAGAGAAACCCTACGAACAATAAATAACATAATCACGGATAACCCAACTTAGGAAACTCAACCGGTTAAATGATACGTAAAAACGTTTGTCCCGTCTCGAGTTCGAACCTCAAGTTAGGGAGAAAGATTGAAAATAGCTTGTTCTCGCTCCCGTAATTGATATGGGCTTTGGTACAGGATACCCGATTACCAAAAAAAAAATATAAGGACGAGTAAAACGCACCCAACGAGGGCTAGAAGGAAGAACTGAGTGAGGAACTTGAGGTTAATCGCTGGCCTCTCCTTCCTAAACCAACAACAAAAAAACCTCACAGTCATCGGACAAGACATAACATGTATCATCACTAGGTAACTGAACAATGGTAACAGCACTTACTTTTCGAGGAAGTAAGCGAAAGGGAGGAGAAGAAGCAAGGCGATGATGTTACGGTAGACGGGGAAAACGAGCATGCTAATGCCCATGTTGAGAGCTGCCCTAGACACGACATGGAAACCGGCGTATCCGAACTGCAAGGCGAGCATCGCCGCGTGAAGTTGGAGCCTCTCCGGGACCGAACACCACGATCTCCGGCCATCTCCGCCGCCGTTCTCCGCCATCGAACTTCTCAGTGTCTCGCCGGAGAAGATGATGATGAGATTTTTTTTATTAGGGTTATGATTTATGATGAAGAAGAGGTGAAGTGGAGGTTTTGTGTGGGAAGTAAGGGAGAGTGGTGGAGGGTATAAATATAGGTCGCGAAGGTCATGCTGAGGAATGTAAATATGCGCACAAGATTAAAAAAATTCCTAAAATGATCTTTTTAAAAAAAAAATTGTATGCAGAATATCCTAAAGTTTATAAAACATAAAAACTAATGTGAAGAAAATAATTTTCTTTCACATAGAAACGAATCTTAAGATCACCAAAAATGCAAGATTATATTCTACTAATGCTATCCAAATTAACATGAATGAACTAAAATGATCCGAATTCAACTAAAGAATAGTGAAAGTTTGATTTTCATCCTTTTTTGAGCCTCAATGAATCCGCATTCCAATCTAAAAAAGAATAAATCGTCGTGCATTACTTTATGAATTTTTATTATTTAATCTGAAAAAAAATTAGTACACGTTATTTGATTCGATTTTAATTGGGTGACTATGATTTTGTAAACTAAACAACGAAAACATAACATAATATGAACTGCATCAAACTGAATTTATATATATATATATATATATATATATATATATCTATGGCGAATTATATTTTAATTTCTCTTAATAACTTATCTTTGTTGAGTAGAGAAAAATGTTTTCTTTTCTTTTTAATTACTAAATCAACTCGGAAATGGTTTTTAAAACCATCAATTTAATGATAAATCTGATTATCCAACAAAAAATAGCTACCCACTTCTAGTATTAAACCTACAATTGCTAGAGGATGGTATCAAATGGTTCATAAAAAGAAACCCAACAATGATATGAAATCTAAAAAATTTACCAATCAATGTTTTGTTAAATGTTTGGTATAAATTATAATTCAATATCACTCCTAATGTCCCTTTATTTTAATTAATTGGTCAAGGGCCCTATCGTATTTAATTGTAAAAACAAAATAATAATTGTTTTTGGAAAAGAAAAAGAGGCAACCGTGAATAACATAACTTAAAAATGTTTAAAGGCTGTCTCCCACATTCTCTCGTTATATTTTAGCTGACAAGACAACCCCCACGCCATTACTCATCATCATCATTATTATTTATTATTTATTGTAAAGAAAATAGGTTAAAAATTTGGTATATTGGACAATGTCCAATGTTTGTATCAAGCTGGAATCCCCATCACACTCCTGATAAACCCCCCATGCAATCAATCTCGACGTGGGTAACACTCTTAGATGTTCCCCCGAAATTATACAACTCTGACAGTATCAGCCGCATATATTTTTATTATCGACTGCTTTGTTTTTTTGTTTATACATATATTTTTATTATTTTTGAAATCAGAAAAAGAAAACAAAAATAGCTACTCGTGCTTTTCATCATGTTGAACATTGTATTCTATTAATCAGCCACAAAATATTTCCACCGAATACATATGCATAATTTATCACGACGACGAAGAGAAAAAACGGTGAAAAATATATTTATAAATATCCGACGTATAATTTATCATAATACTATATGTAGATATACATTCCATGTTATTCAAAATTTGATTGAGTGAGCTATTCAAAATTTAATTATATATATGTATATATCTGTATATATATGTATGTATATGTATGTATATATATATATTTATTTGTATGTGTTTGTATATATGTGTATGTAAATATATATCTATATATATATTAGTATATATATATATAGATGTGTATAAATATGTATATATGTTCAGGGACTTACCTAGAAAAAATTATCATTGGAGAGTATAAAATTTACTATGATTTAAGAGATAAGACAAAAATTTTTATGGAGGTATTTAATAATTTTTATTTAAAATTTATAATGAAATTAATTTTTTTTAATGAAAAGAATGGAGGTTTATGCCCCACAACTAACGAATTGGGTCCGCCATATATATATATATATATATATATATATATATTATTCGATGAAATGGTGAAGATTAGTCCCGAAACTATGAACTATTCCTAGGTTAAAGATTTCAAGTGCAATCAAAGTATATCCACATTGCTGCTAAGGTTCCATTGGTTGGTCCATGTTTTTTCATGATCCATTTCAATTTTTTTTAGGTAAAAAGAAAAATCGAAACAATGAATCATTTTTGTTGAGAGCAAAATTGGTCCTCTTTCGTGGTCCCTACCGCTACCCTTCACAATGAAAACGTGGCAATGAGTACTTTCGATTTTACTTGAATTAAACACAAGAAACCATTCCATTCATTAAATAAAATATTAGATTAACGTTGCGATGTATTGTATTCCACATCGACCGTATATACAGATCCGTTCTAATACATAAATATGGACTAATTAAACCTCAATTATTGATATAGTTTTATTTTTATGGTAGAGCTAGGTTCATGTTTATGTCATATAATATGATTTGCATTCAACGTACGGACGAAGAAGCTCAATTTTTCAGGACAAGGACAGGCGTGAAAGCACTGTTGGAACCACGTGAACTCGTTCGTACGTGTTCACATAGGAGATACGCGAGGGAATCGTTTGATCTTATCCATACGTTGATAAATTGTACGAGTCCACTATCAACTTCGACCATTTCATTTTACATTGGATTCCGACTTTATGTAAAGCAATAACTCTACATTCAATCCATAATTCTCTATTTAAGAATGCACAGCATTAGAGTGTATTACAATCATTAAGCGTCATTAGAGTAAAGTGTATATATATATATATATATAATTTCATGCTATTTGAATTGAGAGAGTAAAATATCGATACAATTTTCACAAAAATCAATCCAATCTCTCTATTTTTTTTAAAAAAGAACCCTATGAATATCTGTATCTACTAATAGAAAAATCAACAATATTTGTTAATTATTTTGCGTTAGGTGAGTCGGCAAAGGTCTCAACATTCAAAGGAAAGGGAATCTAAATCACATCAAAATGGTCCCCCAACGTGGCTCGTTCCACGATTCATTTATATTATATCAGGCCGCGTGGAGAGCCGAGCCTAGACGAGCTGGCTCGGTCAGCTCACGAGCTAGCTCGTGATCTCAAAAAAAAAAAATTAGGGTTTTAGATTTTAACCTCTTTTGTTATGTTTGCCCGCTTCCTCCCTCCTCTCTCTCTCAGTTTCGCAGACTTTTTTTTTTCTTGCTTCTCTCTCACTCTCAATCTCGGATTCTCGCCGGTTGCTGCTCGCCGAGATCGCTGTCACCAGTCTCGGTCTCGATCCTGCCTCTCTCTCTCGGTCTCGCTCACTCTCGGACTCTCGGACTGTCGAGATCTGTCTCTCGCTCCCCCCTCTCGGTCTCGCTCACTCCCGAACTGTCGAGCTCTCGCCTCTCTCGACCCATCGAGCTCTGCCAGTCTCTTTCGCCAGCGATTTCGACTCGCTCAGGTCCGACTCATACTCTCTCTTTCACCATCGATTTTGATTGTCTCTCGAATGTTTCTGTTAGTTCATAATTCATGTTTGTTTGTTGTTCTGTCTTGAATGTTTCTGCTTCTTTTCATGATTCATCGATTGCGTCTATCTTGAGTGTGTATGTTGATATATTGTATGTTTATAATCTGTGTACAATATTTACAATCTGTATGTGTATGTTCATATAATGTATGCATATAATCTGTAACGTATGGATTTATTATTGCAGATGGATTCAAGGGAAGATTTGGATGGAAGTAAAGAGATGGATACAACACAACAAGAAGAGACTCAGAATACGGTAATTGGGGATAGTCAAGCAACTGTAAGTTCTAGAAAGAGGCGAAGAAAATTAACATCTGAAGTGTGGAATCATTTTACAAGGATTAGTGAAACACAGGTTCAATGTGATCATTGCAAACAAACATATACCCAGAGGCATGATGCACATGGAACTTCTACTATGAAAAGACATGTAGAGCATTTATGTCGTAAGAAGCCGTTGTGTTTGGATTTGAGGTCTGTGATTAGGGATGCCGAGGGAAATGTTAGAATAACGAAGAAGTGGAATCAGAAAATAGCCGAGGAAAAGTTAACAAAGTTCATCGTAACTCATGACCTTCCTTTTACTTTTGTGGAGTATGATGGTTTAAGAGATTGGATCAACTATATGGTTCCCGATTTTAAGTTTTGTGGTAGAAATACTATGGCTACTCGGGTTGAACAATTGTATTTAGATGGCAAAGAAAGAATGAAATCTGATTTGGAAAAGATTCCAAGTAGGATATCTTTGACCTCGGATTGTTGGACGGGCATCGATACTGTAGGATATATATGTTTGACGGCTCATTATGTTGATGAAGATTGGAAGTTGACCAGCAAGATTTTGTCTTTCATAGATTTGCCTCATCCACATACCGGTGAAGCGTTAGCTACTAAGATTCATGATTTACTGAAGGAATGGGGGATAGAGAAGAAGATTTTCACCATTACGTTAGATAATGCTTCGGCAAATGATTGTTGCCAAGAGATTTTGAAAGAGAGGCTTTGCTTAGATAACAATTTATTGTGTGATGGTGAATTCTTCCACATAAGATGCTGTGCACATATACTTAATCTCATTGTGCAAGATGGTTTAAAGACACTTGGTGATGCTGTATCTAAAATTAGAGATAGTGTAAGGTATGTGAAAGCTTCAAAAGGAAGGATGGATGTTTTTGAGAGTTGCATAGAAGGTGGTGGTAGTGCTGTCTTGACTACGGATGTACCTACTAGATGGAACTCTGCGTTTATTATGCTTGAGAAGGCATTAAAGTATCAACGAGCCTTTGCTAGATTGAAAGTGATTGATAAAGGTTATAAGCATTGTCCTTCGAGTGAAGAATGGGGTAGAGCGGAAAGAATATGTGAGCTACTACAGCCTTTTTACAAGATCACGGTCTTGATGTCTGGTTCAACTTATTGTACCTCAAATCTTTATTTTGGACAGATTTTTAAGATTGAAAAGTTGCTGAAGAAGAATGTGGCTAGTAGCGATGATCATATTAGAATGATGAGTTTGAGAATGCTAGACAAGTTCAACAAATATTGGGAGCATTACAGCGTTATACTTGCTATGGGTGCCATAGTTGATC